CATCGGAAAAAACCACCAAAGGTCAATCGTAATCTATGATTAGAATTCTTTGGGATGAGAGTCAGCCCAAGAGTCAAAGTCCACTTGGATGATTCGATCTGTTTCATTTCTCAACCTTCTCCCTCCCTCCCCCCTCCCTCTCTCCCTCCTCCCTCCCTTCCCCGTCCCTCCTTCCCTCCCCCTCCCTTCCTTCCTTGCTTTTCTCCTTCTTCCCTTCCTCTCTTCTTTTTCCTTCTTTCTTCCTGACAATGTTTCACTATGTCTCCCAGTCTGGCTACAGATTCCTGGGTGTGAGAGATCCTCTTGCTTCTCTTCCCCCCAGTACCTGGGACTGCAGGCACGGAGAGCTCCACCTGGCTCAATGTGCTCTCCTGTGGCTACATTTTACCCAGAGCTTCCTTCTGTGGCCTCCCTTGGTTGAGTCTAGTCTTTAGGCTGCCTATCCTGCTTGATTCTTTGAAATGATCTTACAAAACCCACTTCTACTGAAAATGCTTGTCAACCTTTTTTTTTGTCAGACTCTTTAAAATAGATGAGTGCAACACCTCATTTCCCTGTATATATATATAAAAAAAAGTCCAAGTTGGGGAGGATCTTCTCCAAGCTCCTTTCTATAAGTTTAAGTTTTACTATAAATTTATTTTAATAAACTTAACAAAATGGCATTTTTAAGTCCCCTGAGGGAGTACACCCTTTAAGGAGGCAGGGGGACTGCATCAGGCCCAGGCATGGAGCGGATGGAGCAAGGTCTAATTCTATCTTCTTGCTCAAAAGTCCATTTAAATAGTGTTCTCAGATAGAAGACATAGCAGATACTAAACTGAGAAGACCAATACTATACTTGATCTTAGCCCAAAGACTGAAAAGCATTTTAACCAAATACATCAACATTAGCATAAAATCTTATAGGATGGGACCATCTTGGATTACCTCACAGAGCCATCGATGGAGGCAGTGAGCACCAGCTGCTTGTCCTCCACGTAGATCACTTGAATAATTTCTAAAGAATGAGCACGCCAGGAAAGCAGCTGCTTGAATTTCTAGATAGCAACAGTAAGACATATCTCTTGGAATAAGTAAAAAAATATAATCTTAAAATGATTTCACATTAAAGAGCTACATTTATGAGTGGGTGGTATAGATGGTGATGGAGTCTATACTCCAGTTAGCTTCTCTATTGCTTACTGAGATACCAAAGCAATTCTCATGTTAGAGACTTATTACTTTGCACATACCCATGTTGGAGGAAGGAGCTTATGTCTTTGGTAATTTATCATGGACTTGGGGATTAGCTCTTTATTTATTGGATGGTTGATAGATGATGAGATTAAAAAAAAAACCTCCACATTAGGAGAAGGCTATGGGAGACACAGTGAAGATCATCAGGAATGAGGGAAAGCAGAAGTGGGAGGTGAAAGTCAAGGAGAAGGTTGGCGATTATTATTGGAAAATTTTATCTAGAGAAAGCAGTGACTGTTTTGTCCTTGGAGTGGGGTTTGGGGGAGGAGCATGTACTACAAGGAGTTTGTAGAATGAGTGGCTACAGCTCATTCTCTTTCAAAAATACCATGAGGGCTAGTCACTTTTTATTTATCCTCAAGTTTGGAGCCCCTTAAGGGGCCTCAGAAGGCCTTTCTACATTTTGTGGACTAGAGTGTTTAGCAGGTGCTCTTTCCACAGTAATATCCTTTTGTATGTTTCTCTCTACCCATCAGTGAACACTCTAGGCGGAGCTTTTCCTGGGTCATCTACTAGGGACATTTGTGTGACCAGTGTCCAAGGAGCTTGCAGTTCTCCTATGCATATCCTATTCTTTGAGACTTCAGGAAGGGTTAAGAATAAATTCTCCTAATTTGTTAGAGTTCTGGCTCAGTTTCCTTCAGCTGTTCTTAGAGAGCCAGGATTAAAATCTGCATCTTTTACTTCATATTGTTTCAGAGCTGTTCAAGAGTGTTTGATCACCCAAGATTTCTTTCTCTATCTGAAGATGAAATTTCCTTAGGCAAATGTTTGTGTCACATAGTTTAAGCTTCAATAGTACAGACACCAAGAACTTAAGGTATGTTTGCATTTCCATCTTTTGCAGTATCTAGAGAAATACTCAATAAACATGTTAAGTGGAAAACTAAAGTTCATACCTTTTCATCATGAGGTGTATCCATGAAGGAACTAATACTGCAAAGGATAACATGTCCTTCTGTATAAAATTTAAACATTCAGATCCTTAATTAGATACTACATTCTTTAAGTAAATACTCCCCACAATGCTAAGTCATTTTGATTCAGGCATTTATGTTAGTAGATAGAATAGAATCTGAGAAACCAGACATAAAAGAAGAAATTTGGGGGCTGGTGATATAGCTTGTACCATGGTTGTCTAGCATGAGTGAAGTCCTGGGTTTGATCTCCAGCACTGCATAAAGCCAGGTGTGGTGGTATCTGCCTGTAATCCCAGCACTCAGGAGGTAGAGGCAAGAGGATCAGTATTCAAGGTCATCCTTGGCTATATAGCAAGTGTGAAGTCAGCTTGGGCTTCATGAAACTCTATCTCAAATTAAAAAGGGAAATTTCAGGGGTAAACCTACTACTATTAATTTGCTAAATGTGTCCTCTAAATTTATGTCTCTCTACCATAGGTTAGCTCTCAGACAAAGATGTTTCTTTGTAGAGTGGACAGCTGTTAATTCAGAATCTCACAGTTGGTCAAAGTGCAGAGAATAAATGTCTATTGGTGCTCAGCCATAAATGGGACATCTATATCACACCCCATCCCCCAAAGGACCAGAGATCATCATGGAAAGGGGTTGGATAGATAATATGAGCCAGAGGTTGGAGAGGACTGGAATGAAACAGTATCTTCTGGAAATGACAGGTCTACTGCATTCATGAACTCACAGCATCTGTGGTTGGCTTCACAAGGCCTGCATAAGATCAAGCCAGTCAACAGACGTGTGCATGTGCGTGTGTGTGTGTGTGTGTGATGAGCCGCCCCTGCTGCTGAGGAACTATTGACAATTAATGGCTTCTAGAGAAGGGAAAGGAAGTTTTCTTCAAAGATGTGGCTCCTGGTAGGTTGACTACTCTCCTGTGTTCAGCCCCACACCCATGTTCAGGCACAGAAAATTTGAGGGCCAGTGAAATTACCCTGCATGATGCTATAGTGGTGGATACGTGGCATTATACCTTTGCCCAAACCTTAAAGATGTTCCCCACCAGGAGTGAATCCTGATATATCTGTAGGCTATCTGGTGCAGGATGGGCAGTGTGTGTTTGCAAAGTGGCCAGAGATGTATGGGAACTCAATCATTTCACTTAAATTTTACTGCAAACCTATAACTTATCTTGAAATAAAGCCAATTTTAAAAACTTAAAACACCAACTAGTGATGCCTAGCATTGACTGATTTAAAATACTTGGATAGCAACTTCTTTTCTTTCTTTCTTTCTTTCTTTCTTTCTTTCTTTCTTTCTTT